AAAAGACCAGGTCGTCTACGTGGACAAGAATGTAGAACGGAGTCTGGCCGGCACGAACGAAGAGCGAGGGGTCTGCAGAGGACGGAAAGAACTGCAGGTCAGCAAGCGTAGTACGCAGCGTGTCGTGCCACTCAAGGGGAGCCTGCAGCAGGCCGTAGACGGGGCGCCGCAGGAGCCACTGGATCCCAGGAGGGAAGGTGCCAGTGAACCTCTGAGGGCGACGCAGGTAGACCTGCTCGTGGAGACTGCCTTGAAGAGACGCAGTGGAAAAGTCGAGGGTGTGCAGCTCGTAGTCACGCTGAGCAGCTACGTGTAGCAGCACCCGAAGAGTAGTCATCTTCAGGGTCGGAGCAAAAGTCTGAAAGAAGTCCACCCCCTCACGCTGACTGAAACCTCTAGCTACGTAGCGCGCCTTGAACACAGGCGGCTCTCCAGGAGGGCGCTTCACCTTGAAGAGCCAGCGGCCGTCGACTACGTTCACCCCAGGTAGGGAAACTGCATCGACGAAGGTACCAGTGGATCTCCAAGATGCCATCTACTGCTCCATGGCAGCTATCCACTGAGTGGCCCAAGGTCCCGAGGTCGCCTCAGCGTAAGTGCAAGGGGTCAGGATGTCGAAAGCGTCTGGGTCACCCTCAGGGACTAGCAGCATGGAACAGAGATGGGGAGCAGCCTCGAACAGGAAAGCAAGCTCGAACTGGTGGTCCTCCAGGACGTCACTGCCGAGGGCAGAAGCACCCCCGACAGACGGAGGACAGGCAGTGTCAGAGACCAGAGCTGTGGCGTAGTCAAGGCGGCGGGTAGAGGCGAAGTCAGCGACCGCAGCGACAAGGGCGTCAAGACTCGAAACCGGAACAGACGGGTCAGTAACAAGAGAGGCAAGGACCCGAGGAACGAGAGGACGGGCGGAACGCAGGTAGTCAGACAGAGGGGGGGGAGCAACGACAAGGGAGGACGGAGGGGGCAACGGAAGAAGGGGAGGACGAGACGCGTGGGAACAAAGCAATATAGGGTGAGAGCATGAGACAGGGGAGATAGGTCGAGCACGGGAGGGATGGCGAGACCAGAGGTGAGACGGAGGAGTCGGGTCAGGAGACTGAGGAGGGGACACAAGGGGGGAGCGAGGAGGAAGACGAGCCGGGGACGAGTCCGGCGGAGGGAACACAGGGCCGTAGACGGGAAGAGGAGGAGACGGCAGGAGAGGAAAAGACGCAGGGTCAGGGGACGGAAGACCGAGCAGGCGAAGGGCTGACACTGGCGGGGACTGCTGCTGCGGCGGCACAACAGCGACACCGGGACCGCAAGCTGCTCCTCGGCTACCTCCGGGACACTCCACACCGGCACCCCCAGAAGGAACACCCCCAGAGCCAGGAACCCCTCGAGCACCGGTACCACCCCCAGGGCCACCGGGGCTAGCACCCACTCCAACGCCAGCACCCCCCGACTCAACGAACGGTTGCTGCGACGGCGGCGGAGGAGACGACGGCTGCGGCAGCAGAGGCGATGGCGGCTGCAGAGGCGGCGAAGGAGGAGACACCGGGGGAGGCGCAGACGGCGAGGACTGCGCCGCAGGACCACCAGAGTAAGGAGACTCCTCGACCGGGACAACCGACGGGAGAGGGGTGACGTGGGAAACACCGGAAGGGACAGGACGGGGAGGGGGAGGGGGGGGGGCAGGGAGCAAGGCAGCCCCAGACGTGGAACACAGACACGTCACCAGGAGACCTGGTCCAAAGAAGGGTCGGCGAAACCTGCGGCTGCTGGGGGTGCGACCACAGGTTAAGCTGGTGAGCAGCGTAGCGCACGGCGAACGGCCACAGAAAATGGGGTGCACCGGCATGGATCATGGAGGTGCGAGCCACCTCCATGACCAAACCGATGCGTCGCTCAGCGACTCCATTCTGCTGTGGGGAGTCCGGAAGGGTGAACGACAGAAGCGACCAAGGACACCTGAGGCAAACTCGCCACCACGGTCGGAGTGGAGACGCAAGACAGGGAGACCACGGTGGACACGCGCAACGACAAGCCAGGGAATGAGAGCGTCAGGCACGTCGGCCTTTCGCTCCAGGGGAAAGACAGTGGTGTAGCGAGTGAAGTCATCGACAAGCACGAGGAAGTAGCGCTCTTGACGCGGCCCATGGACGGGGGCGGGGCCCCAGACGTCCATGTGCAGGGTCTGCAGCAGCGCGGCGGTAGGGGGAAACGAGGAGGAGTGAGGGGCACGGCGAAGCCGACCCTCGACACAAGGCGTGTAATGTGGGGCGGGGGAGGAGGGAAAAGCGGGGAACGAACCAGGGAGACCAAGGACGAGACCGTGCTGGGACATGTGACGTAGACGCGGGAGCGCAGGGTGACCTAGGCGGTGGTGCCAAATGAGAGTCGGGTGAGTGAGGGACCGACAGGAGCAGGCAGCAGCAACCTGGGTAGACGCAGCCACCTGAAGGGGCGCCCGAGCCGGGGGGGTCACGGTGTCCAGGGTGAACAGGCCGGACACCGGGTCCCGGGGGAACGTGGACAGGGGGCACCAGTGGCGGCCTTGGTACAGACAGCATACCGCTCGTGACCAGGGAACGTAGTGGTGACGCCAAGGTCCTGGAGGCAGCCGACACCAACTAGGTTCCTGGAGAACGAGGGGATATGCAGACCTGTGAGAGTGCCCGAAGGAATCGCCAGACAGGGAAGGGTGGTGGAACTGCGGGCGACGACCGGACCGCCGGAGGGGTCAGCAAGAGAAACTGCAGCAGGAACAGGAAGCGACATCAGCGTAATAGAGTCGTGGAAGAAACACCAAGGCGAAGCAGTGGCGTCTGGCGACGGGGCGACGGCGGAAGCACCAAGGCTAAAGAAAGCAGGAGCTCCTACGCCTGACGCAGCAGGGGAGGCTAAGCTAGGCACAACTACACTAGGCGACAAGGAGTAATAAGAGGGGAGCACTCTAGAGTCATCAGCATACATCACATGCAGGGCAGAAATAATGGCATCCATGTCCATGTCAAAAATCTGAACTCTACGACTAAGCAAACTGTGCCAGTCCGGGAGGTCGGGCGACGGGCTGAAGCGCTGACGAAACAGGTCGTCCAGGCGACAAAAACAACGGGCAGTGGTGTGACCGATCTTACCGCAAACGAAGCCGCGGCGAGGACCGGTCTGGATCTGGTACTGACAGTACACGCCTCCCGAACCACCACCCGGCACACCACCACGCGTACGACCACCACCAGCGCCAGGCCACCCGGGCGGGAGACCACTCGCCTGCCTCGGCTGCGGCGGCTGCTGCGGTTGGTGCAGCTACTGCGGCTGCTGCGGCTGTTGCTGCTGCTGGGGCAGCTGCTTAGCTGGACCTGGCAGGGTTCCCTCGTCTGCTCCACCACCAGACGACCCGACTCCACCACCACCTCCACTTGCACCCCCTCCTCCTCCGCCACGACCAGCCTTGGGGCGGCAGCCCTTCCCCGGACGGAACTGCGCTGCAGCGGCGGTCTCAACCACAGCTGCAGAACCATCGGAGAAGGTGCACTGAGCAGGGGCACAACCCTGAAAGATAGGGACGGGCACAGTACCGCTCGCCTGGGCGATAGAGCGGTGGCGGGTCTCAATAACAGTCAGGGTGTTTACAAAGTCTGTGAGGGTGAGGTCACCGGGATGGATGCTAAGGAAACGGTCACGAGCAGCGGCAAGGCGGTTAGGGAGGCGGGTGGCAAGGAGGTAGAGGGTAGAGGTAAGGGGCGGATGGTGGGCTCTAAGCTGTGCGTCAGTGCAGGCAGCGCGCCAGGTCTCATCTATCGTGCGCAGGTGGGCAGCCAGGTCAGCGATAGTGGGGAAAGATGCAAGGTCAGGAAAGAGCATCGGTAGGATCAGGTGACCCACCGAGGCAGCAGGCGGGGCGGAATAGCGCCGGATAACAGCATCTAAGCAAGCCTGGGCGGTGGTGATAGACCTAAAGCGAGGACGCTCAGACGGGGGGAAGGCATTGCTAATGGCAAGCTGTGCGACAGCGTCACGGGAAAGCCAGACAGAGCGAGCGAGGGCAGCGGCCGCAGTAGACTCGCGCAAAGCAGGTGTGGGATCAGCGGGCAGCACAGCAGGGGGGTCTGGGCAGGGAAGCGTACCGTCAAGGTGTGCCGAGAGGGGGTGGCCATCGTGCCGCTGACCAGCGAGGTGGTGGCGGAGGTCGGCTAGCCACGCCTCGAACTCCAGAGGCTGGCCTTCAGCGTCGAAGCGAAGCTCCGCCGCAATCAGGAACAGTGCATGGCAGGGCCAGGTGAGGCAGTGCAGGGCGGTACAGTGCAGTGCAGGGCGGTACAGTCAGTGCAGGGCGGTACAGCGCGGTACAGTGCGGTACAGTGCGGTGCAGCACGATGCCGTGCACTGCAGGGGGGGTGCAGTGTAGTGAAAGGTGATGGAGAACCGTACTAGGGAGGGTGCAGTACAGTAGCAGGCACCAAGGACGGGCCGTACGCAGATCGGCGGCAGTCCGGCGGGAAGGTGAGCACGGGGCCGGAGATCGACGGGCAGGGTGCGCGCAGGGGTCGGCAGAACGGGCGCGGGGGCCAGCAGTGGCGAGCGCCGGGCTGGCGAGGACGGGCGCGGGGGCCAGGTAGGACGGGCGCGGGGCCGGCTAGGACGGGCTTGGGACGGGCGCGTGGGCCTGTAGGACGGGCGCGGGGGCCGGTTAGGACGGGTGCGGGAGCCGGTAGGACGGGCGCGGGGCCGACTAGGACGGGCGCGGGGGGCCGTTAGGATGGGCACGGGGGCCGGTAGGACGGGCGCGGGGGGCCGGTAGGACGGGCACGGGGGCCGATGTCGCGGCTGCGTTCGACTTGAAACAACTCCGATATTTTTTCCCCCTTTTTTGTTACAATGTGCCATGTATGTTGTCTTTCAGGCACCGGAAGCTGTTGCTTTCAGTGATGCAGCCAAGGAGATCGACGGAGTGGAGTTCGTGCTCACCAGTGACGCCGATGTCGCTGCTGCGTTCGGCCTTGCAAAGGACAAGAAGCCCACCATTGCCATCGTGAAGAAGGAGGAGGAGAAATTCGTCACCTTTGGTATGTAACAGCAGCGTCTGTGCCCTTGCGGGCATGGCCAGTGCTTACCAGTGACGTTGATGTCGCTGCTACATTCGGCCTGGCGAAGGACAAGAAGCCCGCCATTGTCATCGTGAAGAAGGAGGAGGAGAATTTCGTCACATTCGGTACGTCGTAGTGACACCTGTGCCCTTGATGATGTCGCTGCTGCGTTTGGCCTGGCGAAGGTCAAGAAATCGCGATCGTGAAGGAGGAGGAGAATTTCGTCACCTTTCGTACGTCCTAGTAGCATCTATGCCCTTCTTTCTCCGCCCTTTGCTCTTTTGTCGTCTTTGGTACGTCCTAGCGTCTCTGCCCCTTCTCTCTCTCCCTCTCCCCTCCCCCCCTATCCTCCCCATCGTTCTCATCCTAACGCGTCATTTCGCGGTTAAGCTGCGCTCCCACTGATGTCTCGAGTTCATTGTTGGACGGATGATCAAATCCTCCTTCCTTGTACAATCCTTCCTTGCTTCTGTCCTTGACCTTGCTCTTGACAGCAAGCACACCGAAGCCGTCACTAGCATGATTCCCGTGTGCTCCGACTCTCTCCCCCTCTGTATGGTCTCTTATCCCTGCCTTCACCCCTGCTGCAGACGGCGAGTACACCAAGGAGGCCATTGCTGCATTCGTGACTGCCAACAAGCTACCGCTGCTCATCACCTTCTCTGAAGAAACGTCGGCCAGCATCTTTGCTGGAGACATCAAGAAGCAGGTACATTGGCATGGACAGATTCACTATTGTTGGTGACTGCCAACAAGCTGTCGCTGCTGAGGAGACCTCCGCCAGCATCTTCGCTGGAGACATCAAGAAGCAGGTATGGTGAATCCACAGATACTTTTATACCCTTTTTCACTCCAGCAAGCTGCGGCTGCTCATAACTTTTTCCGAGGAGACGTCTGCCAGCCAGCATCTTTGCTGGAGACATCTAGAAGCAGATTGGTGAATTGGCCGGCAATATATCGATTGCCAGCTATGATGAGCCATTTATGGTTGCTTGTCCTCACACTCCCTGCTATCGTTTCTCGCTCTTCTTCCCTTTCAGGTGACGTTGTTCGCCACACACGAGGAGTACGTCAAGATTGTGCCAGCCGTGGCTGCAGCAGCAAAAGCCATGTCTGGTTGCTCATCCCCACACCTCCGTCTTCCTCCTCCGCCGTCTCTCTCTCGTTCAGGTGATGCTGTGCGCCACTCACGAGGATTACACCAAGATCGTGCCGGCCGTGGCTGCAGCAGCGAAGCAGTTCAAGGGCGAGCTGGTCTTTGTGTACATCAACGGATCGGACACGGAGTCACAGCCGGTGCATGAGTACTTCGGTACAGACGCCAAGGAGACAACGGTGAGTGCATGGGCTCAACGCGGTGAGTACGGGTGCTCCTGCTGCTGCCAGTCGTGCCTAGTAGTAGTGGCGCAGCAGCGAAGCAGTTCAAGGGCGAGCTGGTCTTTGTGTACATCAACGGATCAGACACCGAATCCCAGCCCGTGGACGAGTACTTTGGCACAGACGCCAAGGAGACAACAGTGAGTGCGAGTTTGGAGGGTGGGGATGGCTTGTGTGTACATCAACGGATCAGACACCGAGTCGCAGCCCGTGCACGAGCACTTTGGTACCGACGCCAAGGGGACAACAACGAGTAGGCTTTAGATTTTCCAAGGGCGATACAATTTCAGTATGTTGTGTGCATAAGCGGATCAGATATAGAGTCCCAAGCAGTCCACGTGTACGTGAGCACCGACGCCAAGGAGACAACAGTATGTGTTTTACCTGTGAGACCTAGAGGGAGATCTTCAGCACAGACGCCAAAGAGACGACAGTACATGGGTCCAATGCGTTACGTACAGGTGCTCCTACTGCTGCAAGTGGTGCCTGGTAGTAGTGGCTGCAGCAGCGAAGCAGTTCAAGGGCGAGCTGGTTTTTGTGGGTTTAGACGTGCCTGCCTGGTATTGGCTGCAGCAGTGAACGGTGAATAGGCTTTTGACCGTTCAAGGGCGAGTTGGTGTATGTATGTGTACAACAACGGATCAGACACAAACGCCAGCAGAACCCTGTGCTCCCTTTCGTTCTCTGTCTGTACGGTAATGGGGTTTCTTAACGGGAGGATGCTTGAGGCGCCTCTAATGAAGTTGTACTTCCCTTGGCCCCCCTCTTTTTCCCCAACGTGCAGGTGATGGGTTTCTTCATGGGCGACGAGGAGGACCCCTCGTCAGCCGCAGGAGGGCTCAAGTATCGCATGAAGGAGCCAGTCACTGAGGCGAACATCAAGGTAAGAAGAATGAAGTTGGGAGAATTGCCAGGTAGCTAGCAACATCCAGCTCAGACAAGTAGTCCTCATCAGCCGCTGGGTTTCGAAGCATCCCAAGATCAGGTACCGCATATAGAAGCCGGTCACTGAGGGGAACATCAAGGTGAGAACACAGTGCAGTGGAATGTGCCACAGGAAGGAGCTGGTTAATGAGGCTAAACATCGAGGTAAGGAAAGACTGAGGCATGAAGGAACATGCCAGGCACGCAGTTCTCGTCAGCCACAGCGCCGCATGAAGGAGCCGGTCAGTGAGGCAAACATCAAGGTGAGCAGACAGTTTGGTAGTTAGGAACATTAAGGACGACCATTGACGGGAGCACCAGGGTAGGGTGATGTAACAAGCTTGTTAGTGTAACATGTACTGAATAGCATGATCTCCCTATTTTTCATTACCCATTAGCCTTTTCCGTCCAACCTGCGGTTTGCTATCTACTCTGTTGCCCTCTCCCCTCATGCCTTTGCCAAGAGTTTCATTGTTGGATTCCGAGTCGACTAGGTGACTTTTGAGTCGACTCAAAAGTGTCGTGTGACAAAGTAACGAGGTGACTTTTGAGTCGACTCAAAAGTCACCTTTTGCCAAGAGCTTCATTGTTGGATTCCGAGTCGACTCAGAAACGCCTCTACCGTGCCCCACTCCCTGTTGGTCTCTTTCTCAGGCCTTCGCCAAGAGCTTCATAGACGGGGATCTGAAGCCATTCCACAAGTCAGAGCCGATCCCAGAGAAGGTTCGTCAACAAAAGGGTGTGACTTTGGGGTAGGGATTTCGACTGTACTTGCTCCGAGCTTTGTGTGGGCCTCTTTGAAGGGCTTGTGAAAGTTGTTGACAGGGTTTGACAGTTTTGCAAGAATATTTTTCAATATTTGCGATCGGTCTTACCCTATGCGGCCCTAAGAAGGCCATTGCACGTTTTTTTGTTTTGTTTTAGTGTGTGTTTCTCTTGTGTTGGCCTCGTCGACATAACAATCCTTTATACTTCAGACCCCTCTGCTCCTTTCGGCACCGCCCTGCACCTCTGTCCCACCTTTCCCTGTCTGTAACATCTGTTCCTTGGCAGAACGACGGCCCCGTGACTGTGGTGGTGGGCGAATCTTTTGAGAAGATTGTGCTGGACGAGACCAAGGACGTCCTTCTGGAGGTAAGCTTTCGCTGGGGGGAGGTAGCGGGGGGGGGGGGAGGTGGGGGAACTTTATTTACGCCTACGCATGCTGCATGAGTGGGTGGGTGGGTGGTGGAAGAGTTGTTCGAGAAAACTGTGTTCGACGAGACCAAGGACGTCCTGCTGGAGGTGAGAAGCTCTGGTTGGGGTGGGGTGGTGGGCGGACGCAAAAGTCTCCACCAGAGCTGCTGTTACTTGAAACCAGGTAGGAATGACAGGCTGCGTGGTTGGTGGGCGAATCTTTTGAGAAGGTTGTGCTCGATGAGACAAAGGGCGTCCTGCTGGAGGTGAGAAGCTCAGGGCGAAAGGCTGGGTTGGGCCGAACAGCATTTGGCAGGCTCGGGTGGTGGAAAAACAACTGACCCCATTCAGGAAGATTGTTGATGACGAGACAATGGGCGTCCTGCTGGAGGCACGTGGAGCTTTGTTAGGGGAGCCAAGCAAGGGTAGGGTAGGGCAGGGTGGGTGGACGATGGCGACACTCTTAAGAGGGTTGTCCTCAACGAAACAGAGGACACCTTGCTGGAGATATGGAGGGATGGGATGCGTGGAGGAGGATGGTTTAGATATGGTATGGCAGGTTGGGTGAGAGTTGACGGCAGGTTCCCCCTCGCCCCTGGCTTCACCTTCTCTTTGGTGTATGCCTTTGGGCACGTACTCATCGCCTCGTCAGTCGTCTCAAACGCCTCCCAATGGTATTTCTATGTGTCCCAGTTCCCGCTTCCTCCCCCCTTCCCTCAGGTATACGCCCCCTGGTGCAGGCACTGCAAGTCCCTGGAGTCCAAATACAAGAAGCCTTAAGCCCCAAACCCCGTTCTATCCCTGTCCGTGTGCATGTCTGATGGTATACGCCCCCTTGTGTGGGCACTGCAAGTCCTTGGAGCCCACATACAAGAAGCTCGGCAAGCGATTTGCATCGGTGGAGTCAGTGGTGATTGCCAAGATGGACGGCACGGCCAACGAGTACCACGGGCTGGAGGTGGGTGGGTATTGTGCACTGCATTGCGCCAGGGTTAATTTGAAGACGAGTGAGAGGTCTTTTGTGTTAGTGGAGTCAGTGGTGATCACCAAGATGGACGCCAACGAGTACCCTGGGTTGGAGGTGGGTGTTGCGCACTGCATTGCACCAGGGTTGTTTTGAAGACGAGTGTAAGGTCTTTTGTGTCAGCGGAGTCAGTGGTGGTCACCAAGATGGACGCCAACGAGTACCCTGGGCTAGAGGTGAGTGTGACCTGTCTCATTGCGTCTGGGTGACTGTTGAGTTGACTCAGAGAGGCATTTGCCTCAGTGGAGGCAGTGATGATCGCTAAGATGGACAGCACGGCCAACGAGGTTATTGTACCGGGTCATCACCAGGTCGTAGCGTTGAGTAGAAAGGCCTTTGCCTCAGTGGAGTCAGAGGTGATTGCATCAATGAACTCAGCTTTTGAGTGAACTCTGCATCAACCAACTCTGCTGTGATCGCCAAAAGAGGGAGATCCCTTTTTTGTATTTTCAATATCCGACACCTATTTCTTACACACTCTGCATATGTTGTCAATATCCGACACCTATTTCTTATACACTCTGCATATTTTTTCAATATTCGACACCCATTTCTCACACCTCTACATGTGTTATGCCCCGTCTGCACATGTACCCCTCACTCACAGTCTAGGTCGAGGGGTTCCCAACGATTTTCTTCTACCCAGCCAACAAGAAGTCCGACCCAGTAAGCGAATGCTTCCCCACTCTACACAACACCCTCCACCTCCCCCTCCCCTGCCCTGCCCTTCTCACACCTCTCCCCTTGCTCCCATTCGCCCTGCTGTTGTTCCTGTGCCCCTCTTCAGTCTCAAAATCTCCACCATAGTGTTATCTTCGTTTCTGCTCATGCTTGTTTATTCAAACTGTTTGACTTGACTGATTGTTACCACTCGATTGTTCCCTGCCCTCTGCCTTCTGCCGACAAAACGCAGGTGAAAGTGCAGGCAACGAAGCTGAAGCAATTTATCAAGGTGATTGTTGAAAATGCGGCCATCATGTTTGAACTGCCTGCCAAGGAGAAGGATTCTGCCGCAGCAGCAGCAGCAGAGGATAAGGAAGCGCTGCAGGACAAGGCTGAGGAGGCTGCAGCGTCATCAGGAGAAGGATTTAAGGATGAGCTATGAGTTGTGACGGAAAGCTTTTGAAACAAACCCGTGAGACCTACCGTATTCCCCCGTATATAAGACCCGCCGAAATAGTCAACCCATGGGTGGCATATGCGGGGGATAGCTTATGATATGGTGCATTTTTTAGAGCACCCACGTTTTTTAGTATGAATTTTACATAACACCCTCCATCGGGGATTTGTGGATTTGCTTGGTCTAGCATCAAGGTTTTATCTTTACACAACAGTTTTAACACTAGTCTAAAGCCTATCCGTTGTGCGAGGCATTTCTAGTGCATTTTCGATTACCTAAGCTAGCTACCACTACCATTCACTCAGCACACACTGATAATCCAACAGCTAGCTACATGTCCTAGCAGGGTAAGTCAATAGTTAGTCTCTGTCTTCGTCCTCATCGTGCCAGTCCTCTCCTGCATGCCACACCTCGGCATCTTCATCGTCACTGGCGATGTCGTCCCAGTCAAAGTCATCAGTCCAGCGGGATGCAGCCAAGCCTGCCAGAACCTCCGCCGCAGGCATCTCTAGACCTTCGTCGCCTTCGGCAGCTGATATCCCCACCTCTGTCGCTGCTTCTGTAGAGGTTGTTACTGCTGCTGCTGCTGTGCGGGCTCCTGGATTCCCAGACGCCTCTGATGCTGGCGCGGATGTTGCAGCTCCAGATGCACTGGATGATGAGGCACTTGCTGCAGCTTCAATCTCCGCCTCGACATCGGGATCGTCTTCCTCCGAGCTCGGCGTGGCGCTCGGCTCCACATATTCCGACTCGTAGTATGGGTTCAGCGCCCCACTCTCTTCCATTTCGGCATGGACATCCTCCATGAATTCGACCTCGGCGTCGTCCCGCATGTGGGCGAGGATCACCTCGTCCTCTGTGCCATCGGTCGCATTGGAAATGCCGCACGTCTTGAACGCGCAGCAGATGAGTTCAGCTGGCACCGCGGCCCAGGCGTTGGCAATCCACTGCAGCACGAGCTCGGCTGGCGGCTTGCGAAGATTCCCTGCAGGGGAAAACAAAACGATGAGACAGTAGGCGGGGGCTTTAGGAGTAGTGGTGGAGGAATGCAAGGCATGGTTAAAAAATCACGATGCGGGTAGAGGTTTTAAAGACATAGAATAAAGACGTTACTCACCTGCAGGGGTTGTGGATTCGCAGCCGAATTCTTCGAACCACTCACTGTAGGACCTCCGGACATGCGCCTTGACGCACCGGTTTACCGCCACGTCTAGAGGCTGCACGATAGGCGTACAACCGCCGGGGATGACAGCCCTGGACAGCTTGAAGAGTCGCATCAACTGGGACACTCCCTCCGTCAGGTGTCCCTTGTACGAATCGAGGACCACCAGAGCCTTCTGACGGCCACCGCGCCGCGAGGGTATCGAGCGGAGAAACGGCACCAGGACGGTGGTGACCCAGTCCTTGACATGGGTCTCGTCCATCCACCCTTTCTCCTAGGCCTTGATCACAATTCCTACAATTCCTACACCCTGTATGAGACATATGAGTTTGCCCTGGAAAGACAGCTACGAAAAACATTAGCGGTGGCGGCACAAAAAAAGGCACGGAATCCTTACCGGGCGGGACGCGGATCCGAGGTAGCGTCTTCTGCTTGAAGATGACATACGGCTTCAATTTCTTGCCACTTGCTGTGACGGCCAGCATGATGGTCAACATCTCCTTCTCGTAGCCGGCCGTGTGCACATGGACAGTTCTCGAGCCCCGGACTTCGAGTGTGGTCTCCAGCGGCATCTCCAAGTATAGTGGCGTCTGATCCGCGTTGATGATCAGATCGTCGGGGTAGTCGTTGAGCGTGCGGAGCTGCCGAACAAACTCCCAGAACTTCTCGACTTTCGCGTCACAGTCTGCCAATGAAAATAATAAAAAACAAAAACAGAGAAAGCATAAGTGCGGTCAGCAAACAAGGAAGCACGACAAGAGCTAGACGAGGGCAGGGAGTATTCGCGGCACGTCAAATTACGTACCTGCAGTCATGCGCTGTCCCATCTTCGTCTTCACACGCTTCGTCAGTCCCCAGCGCGCGCGGAACCGGAAGGTCCACCGTGACGAGGCGCGCCAATCGATGCCGGGGTGGTGCTTATGCATGTACTTCCGACTCCATTTCTGCAGCGTGCCGATCGAGACCGCCAGCCCTCGCGCGCACTGGCCCAAGAACTTCTTGTACAGCTCGCGCTCCTGGTGGGGTACTTCGCCTTCCTACCGGAGCCGATGAGGCGACGCCTGCAGCCAGCCGAGGCAGTGAGTCGTGCCTTGTTCTTCTTCCAGTCGCGAATCTGGCACGGCTGCACTCCAGCCATCCGAGCAAGGGAGCGGTTCGACATCTCCGGCTCCGCCTCCAACTTCGCCAACCAGTACAGCTTCTCGGTTGCCGTCCGTGCGAGTCGCTTGCGATTTGTCTTGCGAGCCCTGGGGGAGGGAGGTGCAGCATCACGGTTACGAAGAGGCATATTACGACGGCGTTGCGCTTGCGGGAAACGAGGCACGATAACGCGAGGAAGTGGGCGAGGAGGTTCAGGCTCGCGGTCGTCAGCCTCATCCTCCTCCCAAAACAGGTCGTCGTCATCCTGCCAATCGTTGTCCCACTCCGGAGGACGTGTGACCACCGGCGACGAGAGAGGTGGCGGAGCAGGGGGAGCCGGGGGCGCAGGAGGAGCAGGAGGAGCGGGAGGAGCGGGAGATGCAGGCGGGTGTCTAGGAGCCGAAGGATCTGGTGGGAAAGGACGGAGCAACGTCTGATTCCCGAAGGGTGGGCGATGAGCTCGCAAAAGTGACACACCATTAACTGCTCGAGCGGCCATGGGGGAAAATTTCAACGAGGGATAGCGAGCTAGGCGACATTGGGCAATGCCTGAGCCTCTGTTAGAGAGCTCGGGCATTGCAAACAATTTGATTGAGGCTGAGAGGAGCGAGGAGCAAGAATGACAATGAGGCAAGAGAAGGTTGGAGAAGAACCGTGGCCGACGCCCCAAGCCAAAGCGCGCACGGCTCTGCAAGAAGCGATGGGACCATGCATGCTGGTCCCATCAAGAAGATTCCGTAAAGGAATCTGGTCGTGCACTTTTGTTACGTTGTAAAAACCCAGGATTCATAGCCGTCGATGAAATCTTGTCACTTGCAGGAGGCCGCTTTCCTCTTGTGCTGGCAGGACCGGCTTCCTCGGATTGGCTGCAAATGGAGCACGTCATGACGTTATCGCCAGGCTGGCCCGAGTGGAGGTTGGGAATCGTCATCCAAACCTCGCTTAAGGTGTCATCCTGTACTGTGCATGTATGTCTGCATGTTACGCCCCAAATTCATTTTGCATTATACATAAGACATGGGCGTTATATTTTTCCAGCCTACTGTTAACACCCCTTCGTTTTTTTAAAGAATTTTTGACAATACCCTAGGGTGTTATATACGGGGGAATACGGTAATACGGAGTCATAACGAGAATACGCATGGATGGGGTGTAATGTGACAGATTCTTGGTAATCATTCACACTGCACTGGCTTCCAATAGCATGATTGGTAGATGGCAAGTTGGTACAGTAATTATGCTGGTGATCAGTAATCAGTCACCACCAGTATTTGCTGTATTAGGGTGACCCTAGTAATTATGAGAAATTTGGTGATATATTCGGTATAAAATAGGTTGCCCGGTGTCAAGAAAGCTGGAGCATCCAAAATTCAAGGTGGTCTAAGAATCTGGTAGTAGTGAAAGATGCAATGTGGACTTTGCAACATATATAAATGCCACACCTAAGCAGCCTAGTATGTTATGAAGGCCACATTTGTAAGGAATTACGATTCCTTACTGGGGCTCGCCACAGTGAATACATGCGGACAGTACACGTCCGCAGGCTCGGCCCTTGGTTATCATCGCGCCAAACCAGCCCCCGTCGGTTTTCGGCCCCAACCTGATCCCGAGTCGCCCTGAACCCATTCTGACCCCGCCACCCTCGGACTATCGAGCCCTTGACTGGTCCAACCCTCGACATTCAACCTGGCGAGGCGATTGATCCAAGCGTGATTCCAGGTTTGCGTCTGCCAATAACGGCTCTATGGTCTCCACAGCAGAAACAATTTTCTGCCAGACGCCTGCGGTAAATTGCGCGCGAGCTGTTCAGCCTGACCGCAGGAGAAGCAATGCGAGGAGTGCGACGTGCGTTCATAAGGTTCGGACGGTGTCGGCAGAGTCGAATCCGCTCGTCAACCAACGAGACGCTGTTGAATTTTGGTTTTGGTTGGGCGACTCAGGTTCCTTCCAACGCAGAAAATGCGTTTTTCGTAGCTGAGAACTGTACCCGAGTTTTTCTGGGGTACCTGCCGTAGCCGCGCGATGGGTGAACGTCTGCACGGTGAACCGGTTAGGTGGAGTTGCGAAAGTTTCTACAGAGGGTAACAACACGAAGCAGATCGACGGCAGTTGAGAACCTGAATATTTATCTGCGGCGTCGGATGGAGCTAGAGTCTACGTGGCGCAGCTGCCCTGCGTTATAGGGTCGCTTTGAGACTGGTCCCGACGAGCAGAGTTTGAAGATACTTCATTTTTCGGGTCTGAAGAAACTTGATGCAGGGTATTTTCGGCATCGACGACAGACGATCTTCTTTTCATGGAGGGGGGAGAGAGCAGCTGCGCAGCAGTTGTTTTTTGGATTTTCCCTCTACAATTGGCATCCGCTGCATGAGCATCTACCAACAGATGTTGTCTGACCGACTGAATCGACGGACAGATTCGAGTTGGCCTTTCGGGAATTTCGTAGGTGTTTGCAAAATTAGGGGGCGTGTTTATGTTAGAACGCGAGAATAAATGACTAGTGTGAGAAACCTAGAACATATACCTGCTGGGGTTGTACTCACTAGAAGCACACACC